TTAGACAATGACTAAAGTTGTACGTGTGGCAGGTTGTACACTCATCATGTAATTATAAAGCTGTAGGCGATTGTCAATAGACGACGTCATATACCAACTAATAAAATCCGCTCGGCAATGTAAGCCACCTTAAAAAGTAAAAAAAAAAAAAAAATAATAAGCAGACTAGAATAGTTAGTTTTGATATTAATAAATTAAAAAAATAGTAGTACTATGATTATGAACTAAAAGTTAGTATAAAAAACATCACTTTGATAAGTATAACTAGGTAATTAAGGATTATCAGAATAACCTACTACTATTGTAATAATAAACTCACAATTATTAAGAATAACTTAGGTTTTTTGTTCAATATAAACTGTAAAATAAATTATATCTTTATTATTTAAAACCTTATTGGTTTTTTACCAATAATGCTAATAGGAACTATAATGTAAAGTTTCATCTAAAACACTTACTTCTAAATAATATTACTTGAGTTTGATATACTATTTTATCTATTTGACATTTGGCTTTCAGATTCTCATAAACTATATGAATTTTATATAATAATTGACTCCAATTTTTATAATGATTATTATGTGATTAGTGATGATCATAACCGGATCAGCAATTAAAAGATTACATAAATATTTTATTATTTGTGAATTTTAATAATAAAATAATGCCTTTGCAGTAGAAAAGGCAGATACCACCCATAAAATGAAAATCGAGGTTTTGCTAAATTCAGATAAATTTTGACATGGTGTTACTATTGTAAATTGGGAGAGCGAGTAACAGTGCATGGTTTAGCTCCAATAGTTAACGTGGTTAGGACGTGATAACATCTCACTTAACTAAGTAGAATTCAAGTTTTAATAATAGTTGGGAATAAAGGAAAGGCAGATCAATGTTTTATGTTACTTTATCAAGAAGGACGTTAACTCTTTCTCCCTTTATTAAATGAGACAGTCTGTACTTTTATACATTTTGCGATCTTAAGAGGCCTGACCTGTTAGAGGCTTCGTGCTATCACTTGATCCTCACACAGCCTTTACATAAACTAAAACTCTAACAATGGACATACATTTTTCAATTATAAATGGAAATTGATTTGCATAATAAAAAATCGAAATACGTATTTAAATTTTTGTTTTGGAGGTTTCGTACATCACGAAATTACCCGATATCATGAAATTTTTGATTAACCTGAACAAAATCAAACTCGATTTTCTCAAAATCATATATATATTGCAGTATCCGCCCTTTCTACTGCAGAATTGAATTTGCTTTACTAGTTTGAGAGTTAGAACGTTTTAAAGTATAGATTTAAATTAATATATTATCGTTATATAGTATTATATATATCATACTTAAAACATATTTAAACTGTTCTAACTCTTGCACTAGAGAAGCAAATTCAATTCTGCGACTTGAAAATAATATTTGGATTAATGTGGCTATAAAACTATGTTGCGACATTTAAGAAAAATATGTAAATATTTTAGGCCTCATATAATATAAACATTAAAATTCACAATAAAAAAAAAACATTTAATCTTTTAATTATATTGACAAAATAAATTTAAAAATGTCTCAACATAGTTTTAAAACTACACTATTCTAGTATCATTTGCAAGTTATAGAATTGAATTTGCTTTATTAGAACGTGAGTTAGAACGTTTTAAAGATACATGATTTTTATAATAAATTACTAATAATAAATTTTTTCTAATGAATGATCGACAAAAATTGAATACGTACTGTACGTACGTAGTGTAAATTATATATAACATTACAGATTACGTATCTGGTATGATAGCTGATAGTAATGGATAGTAATGCATCGCATTGGAGATAAATGATAACTATCTTAATATTATATATATTTTTACAGTTATTAATCAATTAAAATAATATAATGCTATAATTACGTTATGAATACTTATGTTTGGTAAAATCTTAAAAATACCACTTATCCTTAAATTAAATATTATTATGCTAAATTTAATTTGTAAAAAAAAAAAAAATTGTTCCAAAATAATACCCTAAACATTATATCCCTCCAAAATCAAAAAAAAAATAAAAAATAAAAACCAAATTATTTTTTTTTCACACGAAATTTTTTTTATTCATTATGTTCCATTAAACATCTTTCAATTTCGGTATTTAAAGCCAAAACCCATTCTTCTCTTTCACTTCTACTTCTAGCTCTAAATATCCAAATTTTACCAGAAGAATCTAATTTTGTTTTCTTTCGAATTTCTAAATTAATAGTACCTTTTCTTCCAATAATACAACGTTTTTCACTTTGCCAAATTACAAATGTACAATCACCATCATCATCAAAACAATACATTCCATCATTATATAATTTTGGTAATTTATGCATCCCATTATGTACTTGATGTGAAGTACTTAAAGAATAAGGTAAATCATAATCTGTTATATGACCAGAGTATACATAACAATCTAATAAATTAATTATCCCTTTCCGCCTATAATAACTTCGAGGTTTTTTTTGCCCAGATATTATTGATCTAGTATAAAGTTGGTAAAATAATAAGTAACCTCTCGTAAGGACGTGATAATGTTTAATGAAAGTGCCATAATGATGAATTTTCTGATATAGTAATCCAGATTTCTATAATATTAAAAAAAAAAAAAAAGTTAAATTAAAAGAATATTATAATATAATATTATTTTTTTAGAATTTAATATGATTACCGTAATACTTCGACATCCATTTAAAATACACCAATGCCAAATGGTAGGATCAGCGAATGTTCGAAAATTATCCCAATGTTCATGAAAACCATCAACTCTATTTGCATGATCATCATCACAATCATTAAATTTATTTGCTTTATAAACATTAATTCGGGTTTTTATATCTTCTTGAAGTCGAACTTTCCAATATTTGATAAGATCATCAAGACATTTTACCCATTCTTTCCTGGTTGTTTTAGAATATGCCTAATAAATTATTGCAAAAATTATATTAAATTATATTAAAATAGATAATATAATGTATTGTAAACCAATGAAAAGAATTAAAAGAAATTAAATCAAATGTAAAACCTCTAAAACAATAGTTAATCCATTCATCATAACCAGTTCAAAAGGACATCCTTTTCCTTCAGGTTTACGCGTATTATTTTCACCTCCTATATTTTCATTTTCGCAATTATTCTCATCATCATTATCCATAGGTCTTACTTCAATAACATCAATTAAATTAATAAATCCATATGCATTTATAATTTGTTTAACGCGTCTTTTAGAATCAGCTTTAATAAAAGCAGTGATGTGTTGTTGTCCATGAACATGTGGAGAAACTGCATATATTATTGGTTGTTTATTATTGAGTTTGTCTTTTTTATCTTCTTCACCCGTTCCAGATTCAGATGTTGTTGGTGGTGGTGGAGGACTTGCAGAAGATGGTTTCATGAAAAACAAATAGTAATCATGTGAAGAAAAATATAGTCGTTTTGACTTATTTTTACGACCTTTATCATTTGTGACTCTTATGAGATATCCTTCAACTGGTGGTGGTTCCTAAGTCATGAATAATAGACAAATTAATTATAGATAGTTTGCCAAAATAAAATATTAAATCAGTAAATATTATATACCTGTAGTTTTATTTCGTCAGGTAATGTTACAGATGTCGGATAATGTTTTGTGCATCGCAATTGTAGTTGATGGGTCTATTAAATGCATACGATGGTGAAAATACGTAAAATATAAATATATGTAAATAAATGTAAATATATATCTGTGTAAAAAAAATATATATACGTAAAATTTACGTATAAATTCAATAATAATACATAAACCAAAAAAAAAACATACCCCTTCAATAAATTGCGGACATGCCAATAAATCATTCCGATCTTTTTTATCTTTTTTTTCATCACTTTTTTCCCAAACAATCCATTCTAACCGATCATATCTTTTCCAACATAGCCTCATATCACTATTTTGTAACCATTCATTTAAAACATCTTCCCATTCATTTATACCACTTAATTCATCCAAAACTATTTTAGTTATTTCTTCTGCTGTGATATTGAATGCTTGCATTTCATCATCTAATGGAATTTGTATTCGAACATCTAGATCAGGTATAGCCACCGCACAAACAGTTGGCACTGGTTTTATTGACGGTACCCTAAGTAAATTATAAAAGGCACGATACCATTCGATACTTAATGGTTGAGTTTTTAATCGAAATATAAATACTTTCATGCCGTATTCACTTGGACTAGATAAGGCTAAAGTATAATCAACCGTTGAATAGAGGGATAATCGAGTTGTTGAAGCAAAAGAAAGTTTATCAACACAAAATTTCTAAAATATTTAATATATTAAAATAAATTTTAATTAAAAAAAAAAAAACATTAAAATAAAAAATAAATAAATTTTATTATGAGACTTGCCTTATTCGTATAAAATTCAACTTTATCAGATTTTAACTTCACAATATACTCTCTCCATCCTACAGAATGAGTAAGATATTTCTTTGAAGTAGAATCATTATATATTTTTGGAACACCTGAATGATATACACGCTCGATCCTAATCAATATACAATCCTCTTTGAGTACAGTTCCTGGTGCAGGTGTATAAGTGGGAGTGTTAAAAGACCCAGCATCTGAACCAATAACGGGAGTAGAATATCCAACAACAGCACTATTTTCCTCTAACCTTTGATCATTTAAAACATGATCAATAGAAGATTTTGACAATTCTGATGATATATCATCACCATCATTCTCTTCAATATTTGGTTCAAGAAACAAACGCACTTGTAATGATTGAGGTTTTGATTTTTTTGAATTAAAATGAGGATTGTGTGGTGTAGGTGGTGTAACAGGAAAATCTTTTACATCCTCAGATGGTGTATAAAAAACATCTCGAGTAATTACTGAACTACCCATATCTGACTCTAAATATTCCATTTCTTGTGGTTCTTCGACTAAGAAAGGAGCATCTGATATCATTTTTGGTTTTTCACTGTATTTCCAAATAAATTAACTTAAAATAAAATAATAATAATAATAATATAAGAATTAAATAATTTACCATTGATCATCCGGAACATTATAGTCAAGAGAAGACATATTAGAAGGACCAGTAACGTCAGTATTAGCCCTAAAAGTCTTTTTTTTCCTAGTACCATGATGTACAGCTTTTTCACTTTTAGAAAACCAAAGAGAATTTTTTTGATAATTCCAATTTGCAGGTGTTGGACCAATAAAAATTCTTCGAGAAGTTGAATGAAGATGTAATGACATTGATTTTGATAGATTATGACCTTGCCCACTTAAAGAATGTTGCGGAACCCATTCAAGGAAAGAATCACTATTTTGTTTACCAGAATCATCGGTAATCTCAGAAGTTGATGGCATTATTTAAAAGGGATCGAAGGATAGGAAAGATTTAAAATAATAAGATATTACAGAGATTCCGGGAAAGCTAAAAAAAATTACAAAAAGAGAAAAGTAATGGGCTAAAAAAAAAAGGATATTTATTAATTTTATTAATTATTAATCAGCATCGAATAATGATTTAAATAATAAATATACATACCTCCCATATACTTTAAGAATTATGGCAAAAAATTGATATCAAAATCCTTTATCGTTTTTTAGTGACTCTGAAGTTTAGTTAAGTTAGTGTAATATAAGCATTTGCAAAAAATGAGTACAAAAAGAATCGTTGACGTACATAATTATTATATTAATTTTTCACCTATCGTTATCGTTATGATATATGTACCCGATAAATTAATCATGCACTCTTAAAGATTGGTTTATCCGTTATAAAAAAATTAAATAATCTTTGGCAAAAAATGTGCCAGACGGCAACGCTTTATACTGAATTAGTTTAGTACTAGCATGCATCATCATGCGATCATTGGCACTACAAAAAAGCTACTACTAGGTTTAAAATAGTCCGGAGACCCTGCCGGTTATATTTAGTTTAGCAACGTAAAATACGTATAAAATCGCCCAAGAAGAATGGATTTTCCAATTTATACATATAATAAATTTCCAAATTAGTACATACCGACCGATACGTATAGTCTGTGTAATACTATAATATGAATACGTATAGGAGTATCGATGAACCGGGATGATTTTATTTTTCTTTTCTTAATGTCCAATTTCAATGTACGATCTTTGTAAATATTTCCTATCTGCTATATTATTTATAGGACAATTTTGACATACGTTCAGACTAGGTACTAGTATATAGGTCTGCAGATATCAGGTATGTAGCTGGTAGTGTTTCCGGATTGTAGATCCGCCAATACTAATAAGTTCCACCTTTTTGTTTCTTTAATGTGGCTTGGTTTTAATACGCGTATTGGAGGATAAATAAATATAACGATAAATATACCAATGATTTTGTTCAACGTATTCACTGCAGCGCAAATATTAAACTTGCTACTTCAGGGCACATCCCTTATTTTTAAAATAATAATAAGAAAAAAAATTTTATAATAAAACCGGCAATAGCTCAGTTGGTAGAGCGGGAGACTGTAGTGAACATACTGTTCAACACTGATATCTCTAGGTCGCTAGTTCAAATCTGGCTTGCCGGAAGGAAATAATCTTTTTTTCGTTTTCAAAAATATTTTTTTACTGTATTATAATTTATCTAGTTTTATTGGAATTTTAATGCTTTTTTTTTTTGTGGCTTCTTTTATATACAGTAATATATACGAAAGAGATTCTTGAGTTAATTAAATTAAGCTTGATAATATAAGAAAAACCATACTTTTCTTCGCTGTTTTGATATATTTAAACTTAGTACTGTATATAATTATACACACAAGTTGATACCCATGCACAGATCTACAGTAAAAAGTTTATTTAAAATTTGTAGAGTATGTACAGTACTGCATATTTGTAAAAACTAAATAAAAATAGTTAAAAACTATTAAATTACGATAGCAAGAGTGTTTATCGTTATGTTGTGCGTCGCTTTTAATTCTTGTAACAATGTTAAAATCGGTATGACTTACATATCGATTAACACATGATTACACAGAATATTAACGTTAATATTTTTAATTATACAGTATATTCGATATTAACATTGTACGTATACGTAGCCATAGTAAATTATTGAATTTTTCATATTATACGTATTCTATAATTAACATTGTGTTTTTCTCTTTTTTTACTATGAAGAGATATGAGGGCTTTGCAGTAGAAAAGCCCAAATTCTATTATCAATTTTGAAATAATTGAAGTTGAAAGTTTGGAAATTTCAACAACTATTTAACCAAATTTAATAAAATTTTTTTTTATTTAAATTTTACAAATATATAGAATTTAAATAAAAAAAAATTTATTGAATTTGGTTAAATAGTTGTTGAAATATCTTCAAATTTTTAACTTCAATTATTTCAAAATTAATAATAGAGTTTGGGCCCTTTCTATTGCAAAGCCCTCATATTGCCTCTTCTACTATCTATTATTATATACAGTCTTTCTGAGCTTAGTTAAGCTGCTAGTATATTGTAGCTAGTGTTTATTTTTCACTGTGCGGCTGTGCGCAGCACACTGAATCAAAAATTTTGCACACACTTTTTTTGAACAGGTGAGTACAGTATTCCGCACAAAAAATTTAATAGCATAGTTATTTGGGCGTAAAACATACGAAATTATCAGTTATGTACAGCTTTTTTTTATTTTCTGCCTCTGGTGCGACGTAAGGCATGACACCATAAATAATATCAGTATTGTTAACAAAAACTTGAAACCGCTAACAGTGAAGAGAACAATTAGTTTTTGATGAAATTCTACATATGACTTGCCACATCAAGAAAGGCAGGTAGATCAAGAGTATAAAATAATTAAATTAACAACTAATAAAAAAGTTCTCAACGTGATTATAAATTCTGTTAGTATGAAATTTAATTGTGCATTATCCCAACAGTAAAAAAATTAACAGATTGTAACTTTATTTTATTTTCAAAAGTTTGTGATTTAATACATGACTGTCATCCTGACAGGCTACAAATATTTCTTAGCAATTGTCATTTCGTCTAATATTCTCACCTATTAAACTCAAATTTGCCGTAACAAAATCCCAAACTATAAAAATAATATAATTAAAATTAACAAGCGTTTTAATATAAAATGCAATATACGCAAGTTACGCTATAATGTCCCAATTTATCAGTTGTTGAATCCTTTCATACTGTAGCTTTTGAACGTCCACCTTTCCTTCGATATAATACATGTTGATCATGTTTATTATTCGTAGTACTTCTTGTTAGACTCATTTAATAATTCGCGATTTTTGTCGATCCAACCCCCAAAAAATTGGCTTAATTCTGGTCAAATTTGCAGATCATTTGGCCTAACGGAGATGAATTTTAAACTCATCTCCGTTAGGCCAAATGATCTGCAAATTTGACCAGAATTAAACCAATTTTTGGGGTTGGATCGACAAAATCGCAAAAAATCAGCCCATATGAAATTTTAAACGCTTAAAAGACTGGGCTATTAAAAAAAAAAAAAAATTTCTTACACTTAGAGAGATATTGCAGATAAAATTCATATTGCTCTATATACTTGGGACCAAAATATTCTTGCATTTAAAGAATATTTTATTAGAGTTGCATTTAGGGAACATGCACTTTACTGTATTAATTAAAAGCGTTATTATATTCTTTAAAATCATCATTGTTTATTAAAATCATTGTTATATTATAGCGCTTTACAAAAAGATGTGAACATGTGATTTTTGTGATGATGATAGCGGAGAAACATTGAAATTATTCAAATTTAAGAATCTATACTAAATAATATAATATAATTACGTATATATAGAAATATTACATATATTTAAAAAATCTAAGATTCTTTGAAATCGCAAAATCTCCATGACAAAATGATCTGAAGTGTTCACATATTTTGCAAAGCGCAATAATTAAGTCAGCGATCATAATAAAAATTTTTATATCGGGATTTGGGCGTATGCTTTTGGGATTTGGGCGGAGGTTTGGGATTTGGGACAATATTTAGGATTTGGGATTACATTGGAGTTTTGGCAAAAGTCCGAATCCCAACCGAAAACTGCAGTAAATGTCAAAACAATATCGAAATAGTTTGGATGACAGATCCCTTCCCTCCCCATCTAATTAGCAGCAAATCATAATATTTATATATAATACGGTATAATAATTGTTTGGTTTTGATTAATAAAGTTGTCATTTTTAATAAGTTTTCAAGGTTAAATTATATCATCGACTAACAGTTAAGTGATTTTTAAATATCGATTAAGTCAGTAAACAAGATTCAATTACAAACTAAAAAAAAAATTTTTTTGAATTAATTGATTGATAAATTTTGATCAAAAGGCTTGAATTTGATGACCAAATTTATGACTCACCGTTATGATATTTCGATAAATCATATCACGACTCGATTAAGATCTCGTTTTATTGGTTTCATACTCGATTCATGAACCAATAATTTCATACGTTTCGATCCAATATGACACATCTCAAAAATACCAATAAATAGCCTTAGTAAAAACATATTTTTTTCCCCCTTTTTTTTTATTATTATTATACACAAAAATCCCATGCATATAAAAGATATCACAAGAAGGATTATTATACCTTCTTTCCTACGTAGAGATTATATACTCGAAATAAAAAAAATAAAAAAATAATCTATTAAAATTTTTAATATACACATAATTTTAAGTAAAAAAATAAAGAATTAAGAAATTTTTGCTCTACGTTAATATTAAAAAAAAAGGGGGTATTAATGCACAAGAAAAAAAGTCATTTATAGGATAATAGAAACTAAATTAACCCCTTCTCCTTTTAATAATAAAATAAAACTTAAATTTTATTATATTAACAACAATCATCCCAAATTCTTTCTTCACCCATAAGTGGTTTCTTGAATTCAACCGTAACTTCATGAATTCCGAAATTAGGATTATTACTCCTATCATCCGCAGGATCACCAATATCATGCCAATATAACAATAACTGTTTCTCTCTTTGAAAATCAGCATATCCGCTAAAGAAAGTGATAGAAAAGTCATCTGCTTCAGGATAATGAAATTTAGGTAAGTAAATTTCTGTTGGCGCATTTTTTTCGGGATTGGATTTATCGTTTTTAAACCTATACTTGAATACTTTTTTATGTGGATCAAATGATATTTTTAATGGTATACCATTAGTTTTAAGGGGAAACGGTCGTAATAAAGCTTCTAATGCTCTTCCACCTAAATCTAAAGTTTGATTCGAATCTGGTGTTGACATCATTGAATGAATCTTTTCAAGATTACTATTTTCTAAAGAAGTTGAATAGATACTAAGATCTTCACCATTCCATTGATCACCCCATTCATTATTATTATCTGGAACATAAGTCCATAAAGTGTAATTTGCAAGATTATTTTCAAGTGCTTGTAGATTTGCATCCATTGCCTTGATTTGTTGTTTATAATCACCAGTTTCGTAAGCTTTATGATTATCCATGTCATATGGTATGCCTATCTCTCCTATTACAGATGGCACATCACCTATAAAGTCGGATTTTATTTAATTAGTGTAAACCAAGTAACATAAAAGAAATTGTCAAGTAAAGAACAGAATAACCTTAAATTTCTTACATACCAACTAAACTAACACGTTCATTTAAAATCATTCCAATTTGTTCCGAAAAATTTTTCCTAATAGCCTTATTACCTATTTTAATAGCACTAAGATATGTAGGATATATACCTCTTTTTATACCCAAAACATCAACGTTGTACCAATTAAACTGTTTTTGTATTAAAGTTAATCCATCATACCAATGTGGAGAATACATAATGCGTTTTAGAGGATTTGGGCCATTAAACATATCTGGTGGTAATTCAAGAACTGGAGGTTGAATGAACACAATAGCATCTTTATGTATAGATCTAATACATTCAGCATATTGAGTAATAAAAGGTTTATAACATTCTTGATTCCAATCTATTGGGTCACCAGTATTAGGATTTTTCGAAAAATAATCGGGACATAATATTGTTTTTGTTTCTTTGTCCCATACACCATGGGCAGCCCATATACAACCTTTAGGAAAATCGGAAGATTTGTTCCATGGATATTCATTAGAACCATTATCACTCCATGCAGTTACACCTTTTGGATCTATATGTTCACTTCCGACAACACCAAAACCATACCAAGTAACATCCCATACTTGTAAAGTGCAAGCATTTCCTTCACCTAATAACATTGCTTGAAAAGGGGTAGGAGTTCTTCCACGTCTATATTCTTGATGATTAGGGATATGATTAAGATCTTTAGCACCAACAAAACCCCAACTTGGTTCATTCATAGTATCATAACCGATAACCAAAGAATCATGAAGGCCAGATTCAACAATTTTTGTTGCCAATGTTTTATAAGCGTTAAGGTAATGAGATTGTAAATAATCTTGTATATTGATACCATCAACTATACATTTTTCAGCATATAATTTTCCAGCAAAGAATAAAGTAAACATTGTAGCCGAAGCGAGTTTATAATAATTTGTTGACCAAACCATTTTAGGATAATGTTTTGGATCATGATAAGTGTTGTGTACAATTGCGGCATCAGTGACAGAAAATTTTTTCATATCAAAACCTGCAAGATCAAGTGTCCATCCAGGTGCCCCTGAACCACCAGAAAACCTAGACCACTAAAAAAAAAAAAAGCCAAATTTGTTATTTAAAAAAAAAAAAAAAAGAAATAGTTATATTATTTTTAAAAGACATGAATTGACTTACCACATCCTGATGAGGATCAATAAAACATTTGAAACCATGTTCCTTTGCCTTTTTAAGAACTTTTATGATATAATCAATAAATTCGACATCATATATACCACTAAAAATTATATAAAGAATTAAAAATCTTGATTAATATAAACTTGTAAAGAAACAGGTTTATTAGATAAGGAAATCGAAATAACTTACGGTCCTTGATGTTCAAGAGCTTCCCAAGTAACAATAAATCTCAAAAAATTAAAACCCCAATGTTTTAAACGTAAAAAGTGTTGATCCGCTTCTTCTAAGGGAAAGGGTCTCCCGACGAAACTAATATTTCTATGGTCAAAAAAACCTTGAAGTTCATGCGAAGGTATATTTGGAGGATTTTTAGAAGCACCAGATAAATTTATACCACGAAACATTAAAGTACGATCAGTAGAATCTTTTATCCATCTTCCATCAATCCATAAAGTTTCAGAATTCATAACTACGGTTTTAGAAGTATTGGTAGAAGTAGTGGTAGAAGTCGAATAATTTGAATGGTTAGTAAACGTTTCATCAGATAAATCTTTATTTGCAAGTTTAGGTGGCAACATCTTCGGAATAAGAACCGAGTTAAAACTTAAGCCAACCCTTGAACGACAACTACGTAAAAAATTTTTTAAAAAAAAGGGAGAAATAATTTATAAAACAAAATAAATGAAGAGAAAATTAGGAAATGAAAGAATGATTAACAGGATCATCGTTATGAATAAAAGGCAAAGAATAAGTTGTACGAATCGCCAAATCAAAATTATCGAAAAACAATTCCAAATTTGTTAATTGTAATAATTATAATAGGCAAGATTTGAGAAAAATTGTAACTCTACTGTGTAAGTTAACAAAGAAACCTTAAATATGAGGCACAAGACCACCAGTCAAATCGGCGGAATTTTTCGCCGATTGTTGACAAGGTGAGATACCGAAAGTTATTACAATACAATTGGTTGAATGAATTATTCGAATAATTTGTTTTATCTAAATTTGGAAAAGCAAAAAATAGAATTACTTGTTTTACAAATTGTACGTACAAATTGTTATCTGTTATACACTTTTTTATGCTTCTTTTATGTAGATGCGTAAATAAATATTTGTAAAAAAAATTATGATACGTAAAAAATTCGTTATAGCAAAAAAGGTTAAAATTAGATGTGTGAAACAAAATCATTGTATAAAGATTAAGTAATTCATTTCCTTTTCGAAATTTTTTATTCACAAAATGCGTACGTACCCGGTATTGCATAACTGATAATATCGATATTTAAAATAAACGTTATCATTATTATTGTATCATATTTGAACTGGTTTAATTTTAACCAATTGAAACAAAGTTTCACCAAACTGATGGATATAATGGCAAAAAAAACATGCATAATTTATTAATTTTTTTTTGATACGTTACTATTTTTATAAAGTCTTTCGTATCATGAAATATTTCTTCAGTATTATAAGTTTCATTCTAATTCAACTCGTATTAACCAGCTATGTAAAAGGTTTGTAAAAAATAAAAATAATTGAAATTATCTAAATTTGGATTTAACATATTATTGATATGCACATAGCATCTTACCGACCTGTTGTGATCTGGCATGGAATGGGAGATACATGTTGTAATCCTGATAGCATGGGTAAGGTTCAGGAAATAATTAAAGATGTTTTTCCTGGAATTTATACGTATTCAATCATGATCGGCGAGGATGAAAGTGAGGATAAAAAGGCTAGTTTTTTTGGCAACATAAATGAAGAGGTAATAATCGATATTTTTTTCATTCATATGATTTTCATTCTTTTTATATTATTCTCTGATTTTATTTTTATTTATAGATTAGCATTGTTTGTGAAAAATTGAAAAGTGATGAAAATCTTAAATTTGGATTCAATGCTATTGGATTTTCTCAAGTAAGCTTCATAAGAATACCTTAAAAATTATAATAGTCAACGGGTTGTTTTTAAATTTAATTATTTTTTAAGGGTGGTCAATTCCTTCGGTAAATTTATTTATAGAAATCTTTGCAACACTTTACATCTTCAAACTATCCTTTTTTAAACTTCATAATCCATGTCCTATTAAAGTGCATATGTCCAACGTTGCAATGATCCACCTGTGTATAACTTAATAACTTTTGGCTCTCCGCATGCCGGTAAGAAGTATTTATTCTTATAATATCTTTTCATCACATTCTAATCCTAATATGTCTTGTAGGTGTATCTGATATTCCAGGTTGTGGTGGAAATGATGTATGGTGTAGAATAATGCGATCAATAGCTAGTCAAGGTGCCTATTCCGGATACGTGCGAGAGCATATAATTCAAGCACAATACTTTAAAGATCCGAAGAAACTTGAACTTTATTTCGAGAGAAATATTTATCTCCCGGATATTAATAATGAACTTGAAATCAAGAATGAAACTTATAAGATGAATCTGATAACGCTTAATAAACTCGTATTGATTAGATTCACTGAAGATACAACACTTAAACCAGGAGATACTGCTGTAAGTAGAGTTTTCTATGACCAAATTGCCATAATTTTAGTGTATCAAGTCTGTTAGAATCGATTCTAAAGGGTCGCTAGTTGAGTTACACCAACACGCTTGAATTGACTGTCCCATATCTCTGAAATTTCGATGGATCTCGTTTCGGCGACAGCCATTTCCCCCAACAATTAAGGTTGGCTGATTTATAGTTAGGTCTAACCTTATTTAGAGTTAGCGTTGGTTTGAGAGTCAGGGAAATTGCTGTTGGTGAAACGTAATCTCTGAAATTTCCATACATATTGACTAGTCTAACTTAAAAAATATTTACTACAATTGCTCTTTGACTGGATATACATTGAGAAGCGACTAATCGATTTTCGATTTTAAATCGACTCAATTCGAAATGAACTGAGTTGATTCGAATCGCAAGATATAATTATACATATTTCGGAGATATTTCAGTAATTATTAATTTCTGTTAACATAATCAATATATATTAATTTATTTGTAGTGGTTTTCATTTTATGATGAAGAAGGAAATGTTGTACCAATTCGTGAACAACCATTATACAAAGAAGATTGGATAGGGTTAAGAACATTAGATAAGGCTGGAAAAATAGTATTTAAAGATTGTGAAGGTCCTCATGTAAGTTCGAAACATATTACTAAATTTATAATTATCATTCATATGATCATATTTGTTTATAATTCATTTTGAATATAGATGAGAATTGATGAGAATTATTTTCGGGAAGAGGTCGTTATTCCTTATTTAAATAATTCTCTTCGACTTCACAAAAGACCGTTGCTTATTATTCAACATAAAATATTGGTTTAGTAAATCTTGTTGTTTTGGATTATTATTATTAGTTTTGTTAATGAAATATATCACGCAAGAATATACGGTATATATATGCTTTTTTTATTGTTGCGCGACTAAAATGTAATTATTTCATTTGGTGAAGTAGAATACCATGTGTAATTAAGAGGCACTTTTTTTTTTTTTTTTTTAAGTCACGCAATCAAAAATTGCTCTTATCCAATGATTTATATAAAATACTATTAACTTACGGCTAATGTTCTCACCGTTGATTTATATATCATAATAGTCATCGCTTTATAGATTATCGGGTTTATTTGATCAATAAGTATATTTTTTATTCAGAGTAACTTATTAGATTTCAAACATGCACTTGGAGTATAAAAGGCATTCGTTTCAACTAGGATTGTTAATGGAATAGCCTACTCTGGAACCACTCCAGGTTGAACTCATCCCAGTTTGAAGCGGATTTAAAAATATGTCTATAAATTTGGGGGGCAATATAGAGTGACCCAGAGCAAATTCTAGAGCAACCTGAGTAAACCTAATTAATTGAATGAGTTGAAGGTTGAGTCAACACAACTCATTAACAACCCTTGTTCTGACATTTAATTATGTTGAAAATTTCTTATCTATTGCTATTTGTGAATTGAAATATTAGCTGCGTAATCACTAGGAAACGATTATAACGAAAGAGAAACTTTAATATTCGTTTTATCTAAAATTAGATATTATTCCTAGCATCCTTTAGCTAGTGTCGCAAGCCGGTTAGCTGGTCCAGCTGATCCAGCCACGGCTGGTGTATTTCATAAATATTTTGCAGTTTAGATGAATCGTGTGGATTCCTTTAAAACTAATATTATCACAATTTGAGTAGTGGTTTGTATTTATTAACATAAAGCCGAATACGCACGTACAAGTAAATTATATAAAACCTCATCAATAAAGGTTCGCGAATTATCACTCTAATGATAATGTCTTAAGTTTTAAACGAATTTTATGAATAAAAATAAAAATAATTTAATTTTACATTATTTATATAAAATTTTTTACTAACACAACTAGGAATATGAAATCCGATCCAAAGCTGGTTTTTGATAAATTTTTTGACTTTATTTAAAGACTATAATAATACTTTCTCATTGTATATGTGCTCATAGTAAAAAACCGATGTATTTTACTTCATAATATACCGAGTTTAAAATGTACTAACTGGTTGCAAATTTCCTCATGATAAAAGTCATGTAAGAGAGTTAAATAAAACTCAGTTTCTCGAAATCATTTCACTGACATATTAGGGTAAGGATTAGATTAGTGCTAGCCAATTTTTTATTTTCTGTGAAATGACTATCGGATGAATGAGACATAACTAGGCTGATAAACCATTAGTCATTCCTATTAGAATTGATCCAACCCTAAAATTAACTCAAAAAATTTATCAGGATATTACCCTTAAATAACAACCTAGATAGCTATTATAATGTTTTAAAATGTACATTAAAGTTTTTAAATTATTAAACTTACCTTTACTGTTCCTAAAATTTAAACTATCAAAATGAAAATTTTGAGTATTGTTATCACAACAGCGTTGCTTGTGGAATGGATAAAGAGTAAATAGTAATCGAGTGTATTTGCTGTCTTTGTTTTTATCATCATAATTTTTGTCGATTTCTGTATTTTCATAATTAACTTTACTGTCGCCTTTATTTCTTCTTCGCTTCATTACTATTAGATACTGTACAAATTATATTGCAAACATAATGTAAAATAGATATATACCTTTATAATATAATATCAAATAGTTTTCACAAAGAAGCCTGCGATGGACATTCAATCTTTGTTAAATATCATTAATATAATTTAGTATTTTTGGGTATTTGCATTTTTTTTTGTATGATTGAAGTTTTTCTTTCGAATATTAGATAGATCTCCATAAGTTGAATAAAAATTGTATGCATTTATAAAAGAACATTTTAATTTTTTTTTGATAATTTAGAAAAAAGAAAGTACTTGAATCATTAAATTTGACGTTATTTTATATAAAGGTTTAAATTATTAAATTAAATTTAATATCTATTGTTTATATTAAGTTTAAATGACGTTTTTTGTCATGTGAGAGGTCAGGGTATTAAGTAATGATATCATGATTTTTCTCGGATAGTGTTAACGAAAATACATGACTGGCCGCTTACATATTATTATTACATAGAATCCGACGAATCTAAATGAAAAATTCAATATTAATTTTAAATATAATTTAATATATACAGTTAAATTAAAAATATATTACCTTTAATTGCATCTGAAATTAATTGTGTGCTAATAAGTTTGCTGGTGTACATATGATCCGGATGGCTTGGTGAGATAATTGGTAATGTTTTAATGGTTTTATCAGCATCTAAAAATTGCTTTTTAATTTCATTTTCTTCCGAACTTTCTATTTCCTCAAGCCAACCATCAATTGTATGATAAATACTATTAACTTGATCATTTAAATTAAAAGCATCAGGTCGTTTCTTTGGATCGGAATGCATACATCGTTTAGACAATTCGACATAGCAATCAGGAGTTCCGGGAGCAAACTCTGGTCGTTCTCCTTTGCAGATCCTTACAGCAAGTTTAGCATCAAAATCACGCCCGTCAAAAGGTCTTTTTCCAGTTGACATTTCAGCCATGATAACGCCGAGACCATAAATATCAGCAGCTTGTGTAAATCCGTTGCCTAATAGAACTTCGGGGGCAACATAGGGCATGACACCATAAATATCACCTTTCTTGACATTTTCATCTTTCTTTCGAGATAATCCTAGATCTGCAATAAAAGATTGCGCACTTTTATTACTGCGTTTGTCTTGCAAAATATTACCGCTGTGAAGGTCAGCATGAATATATCCTGCAAATCTGTGAATATTATCCAATTCATCTGAAATACTTTTAAGTAATTGTAATTTATCTCGCCAAGTAAGTTCTCTAAAATTTTTTCTTAAATATTTATGAAGATTTCCACTATCAGCATACTGAAAGACCATAAAGTATTCATTTGTTTCAGTATCTTGAGTTATTCCGTATATTGCAAGCTTAGTATAACTTATTTTACATGTCATATGACTTTTAAACTTTATAAATTTACAGATTATAACGAATTAGTTCTAATTAATAAATATTTTAATTAATGGGTTCAGTTTTTTCACGCACCTGCATTCCTCCTAATTAGCCAATTAAAATGAAAATTACTATATTACCTTACACTAAATTAAAAAAAAACAACAAACCCTAAAATCTAATTGGCTAATCAGGGGTGCACTGTCATGCGGGGTGCGCTAAAAACATTTTCCCTTTTTTAATTAAGGGTAACTATATAAGTTACGAATTAACTTACTTCTTTCAAGAAATCCAAATTATTTTCTTCAATATTGGCCAAGGTCTTGAGCGCGACGATGCTAGTTGGATCTCGTACTCTTACATAATTATTTTCATCACCATCGATTTTTGGTACACCATTCAACAAGATTGCAGAATATACAGAGCCAAATCCACCTTTTCCAATTTTTTTAATATCAGACAATTTATCAAATGGAATCCATCCAATTGCATCTTCGTATTTCTCAGCTCTAAGTTGAAATTCTCTGATACAGTTATCAATATCTTTGTTTCCACTTGTCGTCCATTCTTGTACTGTGATGTCGGGATCACAAGTCAGACACCACGCTGGTTGTGTGTTATTTTCATTACAATGTGTACATTTACCGTGTTTTTCATCACTTTATAATCATATAATTTTTATATCATATTTTATTTTAAAATCCATTATAATTTTGAAAATTATATTTACCGACTAATTAATGCGAATAAAATGATTTGAAGGGTATTAGTAATTAATTGTAAATAAGTATTTATGAATAAGTATTTATGTTCATGATTTTAATGAAACTGATAAATCATCTTTATACTCACGAACTAAATTAATGTGAATGAATAATTTGAAAAGTATTAGGTAATTAATTGTAAATAATTATTTAGAGGTAAGTATTTATGAATAAGTATTTATGTTCATGATTTTAATGAAACTGATTAACGTTAATAAATCATCTTTATACTCA